TCCGAAGTAGCATATATTTCAAAGAACATATTATTTTAGTGTTTATCCCTTAAGGAAAATATGTAACTTATGTTGTGTTGATATTATTACTTGATTAACTATTATCTGATGTTTAATTATATTCTTTGAAACTAATTATATTCTCTTTTACTTTATTGTGTAGTTAAGCAAATGACAAATATCACGAAACTTGAGTTTGTTGCACTTGATAAATCTGAAAAAAATTATCTATCATGGTTACTCGATGTTGATATCTATCTTATCTCAAAAGGTTTGGGAAAGACAATAAAAGAATGAAACAAAGAATTCCTGCGGGATCGTGCAAAAGCACTCATCTTCCTTCACCATCATCTTCACGATGGATTGAAAACTGAATAACTCACTGAAAAAGATCCACAAGTTCTTTAAAAAAAAATAACTGAAAGATTTGATCATCAGAGGACTATAATCCTCCCCAAAGCCAGCTATGAGTGGATGCACCTTCGTTTGCAAGACTTCAAAACTGTTAGTGAGTACAATTCTGAATTGCTCAGAATATTTCAAAATTGACATTGTATGGAGAAAAAATCACTGATGAAGATATGTTGAAGAAAATTTTTTCTACCTTTCACGCCTCAAATATACTTCTACAGTAGCAATATCACGAGCGAGGTTTTAAAAAATACCCAGAACTTATATCTTGCATGCTTGTTGCTGAATAGAATAATGAGCTGCTGATGAAAATTCATGGGTTACGTCCAATTGGTTCTGTACTATTATCTGAAGCAACTGCAAAAGACAAGAACGTGGACATGGACGTGCACGTGCATGTGAAATAAATCGTGGATGAAATAATTAATAATGTTATCAACAACAAGGCAACAATTTCAAAAGGCACAAAGCAAATGAAAGTAGCACATCCAAATAGGTACACGAAGAAAGTTGCTTTAGATATGGAATGAAAGGGCATTGGACACGTACGTATAGTATGGCAAAACAACTTATGGATCTCTATCAAAAATCAATCAAGGGAAAGGGAAATGTGGAGACAAATTTTGCTGATTATGATGGCCCAATAGATGTGACTCATTTGAATATTTCCGATTTCTTTGCTGATCTAATGAGAATATTGACCATTTGATTTGGGGGTGGTGTGATGGAAGATGTAGATTAGTTTATTTTCTCTATCTCTAATATTTCCTTTTATTTTGAAATATGCTTTTACTTTTAGCATAAAAGTTTTGAACTTTATTACATATCGTTAATTTCATAGTATTGAATTTTGTTGACCATTTTAAATTTAAATTCAAGTTTTTTAAATATATCTATTTTGTTATATTGATAAATTCATGATGGATTGTCAAGACACCTGTTTGATTGATAGTGCAACTACATATATTATTTTTCAAGACAAAAAATATTTTTTGGACTTAGCATTAAAAGAAAATAATGTCAATACAATATCGGGTGCATCGAATATTGTTGAAAGCTCCGGCAGAGCTTGTTAATTTATCAAATAATACAAAATTATATATTAACAATGCACTTTATTCTAGCAAATTTAAAAGAAATTTGCTTAGTTTTAAAGATATCCGTTGTAATGGATATCATATTGAGACGATGCAAAAAAATAATATTGAATATTTTTGCATAACTTCTTTTGTATATGGTCAGAAACAGATAAAAGAAAAATTTAATGCACTCCCATCGTATTATACATTTATAAAAATGGTTGAATCAAATATTGTCATAAACCGGAAGTTCGTTGCCCAAAAAGTTTTATACTTTGAAATGATCGACTTGGACATCCAGGAGTTAGAATGATGCGTCGAATAATAAACAATTCTCATGAATATCCTTTAAAGAACCAGAAGGTTCTTTTACCTAATGATTATGCACATGTAGTTTGTTCGCAAGGCAAGTTAGTCATTAAACCTTCGACTACAAAGGTCAATATTGAATCTCCAACTTTTTTGGAAAGAATTCATGAAGATATATGTAGGCCAATACACCCACCATGTGGACTATTTTGTTATTTTATAGTATTAATTGATTCTTCTACTAGATGGTCACGTGTTTACCTACTTTCCATTAGGAATATAACCTTTGCTAGACTATTTGCTCAAATTATAAAATTACGAGCGCAATTTTTCAATTACTCAATTAAGACTATTCGCCTTGACAATACTGGTGAATTTAGATCACAAGCATTCGATGATTATTGTATGTCAACTGGGATTGTAATTGAACATCTAGTTGTGCATGTTCATACACAAAATGGTTTGACAGAGTCATTTATTAAACGCCTGCAACTTATTGTTAGACAATTACTTATGAAAACAAAACTTCTAGCTTCTGTTTGGGGTCATGCTATGTTACATGCTGCATTATTGGTTCGTATTAGACCAACCGTCTATTATCAATATTCACCTTTCCAATTGACATTTGGTCATGAACCAGATATCTCTCACCTATGGATTTTTGGTTGTGCTGTCCAAATCCCTATTTTACCCCCCCCCCCCACACACACACACACACATACCAAAATAGGTTCCTAACGAAGATTTGAGATTTATGTGGGTTTTGCTTCATCATCAATTATTAGGTATATTAAACATTTAATGGATAATTTCTTTACTGCACATTTTGTAGAATATCATTTTGATGAAATGACCTTCCCAACCTTGGGATGGGAAAAACTAAATCCAGAAAAATTAGGTGAAATTACTTGGAATGAACAACTCTATCTCACTTTGATCCCTGCAACAATCAATGTGAGTAAGAGGTTGAAAAAGTCATTCATTTGCAAAGAGTTGTAAATCAATTACCTGATCTATTTGTTGACACGAGAAAAATGATAAAGTCATATATACCAGTAGAAAATATTACAGCAAAAATTGATGTTCCTGAAATACAAATTGCTATAGCAAATGAATCTAAAATACGTCAGAAGTGTGGTCGACCAGTTGGAGTACCTCAAAAAAAAAGGTGTATGAGAAAAATCAACCAAAAACTTCAGAAAGAGTAACATTAGAAAAGATTAATCAATCAAATACTGAAGATATGGTTCCCGAAGAACCACAAGTGTCGAAAAATAATGAGATTTCAATAAATTATATGTTATCGCTTAAATATATGTATATGTACATGTACGTGTACGTGTGTACACACACACACACACACACAAAAGTCCCTGAAGGACTTAAGGTGCCAGGAACAAATGATACATGTCTGAGAACCATGTTCTCAATTAAATTGCAAATCACAATTTCTGCCCATATATTTTCATGAAGAAAACAAATATTGGATTTCCAATTGTGTTAGTTTATGTTGATTATTTGAATTTAATTGGAACTTCTGAAGAGTTCAACAAAACTGTTGATTATTTGAAAATGAATTTGAAATGAATGATTTGGGAAAAATCAAATTTTGTCTCAGACTGCAGATTGAACATTACACAGATGGATTATTTGTTCACAATCTACGTATACAAAAAAGTTTTAAAACGTTTTTATTGGATGATGCACATCCATTGACATCACCTATGACTATTCGATCACTAGATGAAAAAAGGTTCTATTTCGTAATTTGAAGATGAAGAAAATGTTCTTGGTCCTGAAATACCATATCTTAGTGCAGTTGGAGTATTAACTTATCTTGCAAATTGTGCTCGACCCGACATAACTTTTTCTACAGATCTCCTTACAAGATATAACTCTACACCAACTTAAAGACATTAGAATAGTGTTAAACATATTTTTCATTACCTAAAAGGTACTATTTATTTAAAATTATTTATTCTTAAAAGTCGGGATCTGCCTTAGTGGGATATGTAGATGTAGGTTATCTATCTGACACACATAAAGCTAAATCATAAATATGTTATGTGTTTACACGTGGATGAACAACTATGGAGATCTGAAAAGCAATCATTGACAACAACATCCTCAAATCATTTTGAAATTGTTGCAATCCATGAAGCTAGTTGAAAATGTGTATGGTTGAGAAACATGACTCTTCACATCCAAGCATCATGCGGATTAACTACAATAAAAGATAGTCCAACAATTTTGTATGAAGACAATGCAGCTTATATGCACAACTTAGAGGAGGCTATATCAAATGTGACATGACGAAAAATATTTTTTTCAAAATTCTATTATACACATAAGTTTCAAAAGAATGGTAACATCGATATCCAACAAATTCGCTCAAGTGACAATGTGACCTATTTATTCACAAAAGCACTACTAATATTTACATTCAAGAAATTAGTTCATGAGATTGGAATGTGTCAACTCAAAAATCTTCAGTGATCAATATCAGGAGGAGTAGCTATACTCTTTTTTCTTCGCTTAGATTTTATCCCACTAAATTTTTCTAGCATGGTTTTAATGAGACCGCATTTATTTTTAATACGCCAAAATAACTATACTCTTTTTCCTTCATTTTGATTTTTTCTCATTGGGTTTTTATCAAACAATGTTTTAATGAGACAGATATTTTGTAATGTATCATTCAATTGGGAGTGTTGCAAAAGGCAAGTTTATTAGCATTTGCATGTGAATGGCAATTGTACCCCTACAACCATAAAAATTATTACTATTGTATAATTGATTCTGTCTTATAAATACAGAGCTTTGATTCCTAATAAATTACCCACAAGTTCTAAAAGCATATACAATTTTTTACGCCAAAAATATTTGATCCATACTAGATATCAAGTTGTGTATAATTATTTTCATAAAGATGAAATGATTACAACATCGAAAACTGATTAATATGTGAGAGGGATTCAGATATGGAGTCTCATTCCAAAATTTAGATAAATCGTATTCTCAATAAGTAATTCGATTTTTCCATGTAGAAAATTTAAGTTTAAAATCAATGTAAACTGTTGATCACCAAATTAGCCGTTCGTCTTAAAAGGCGAATGATTATTGAAATGCTTTTTATTTGCATCGTTTACTATATTTTCTTGAAGAATCATTCGTACTTGTACATTTAGTAACTCTTCTAAAAATCTCGCTAAAAAGGGATTACCCACATTCCATTTCAGCACAAATCCAAGCAATACTCAATCAATTTATTAAACATGAACTATAGAGCATATCCACTCAAAGTTTTCTACTTCTACACTCAATATAGAAATTAATTAATTCGACACAAAAATAATAAACTTGATATAAATTATCAACACATTGCATATTTATGGGTCCAGCCCTGGGCCATTGATTCATACTTGGCTCTATCAGTTTTATACATGTGAGCAATTTCTGGAACCAATGGATCATCTGGGTTCGGGTCGGTTAGCAACGAACATATCGAAAGTAAAACCTACACCGAACAAACAATATTTGCACTTAGAAACAATTTTAACAAAAACACTACATTATTAATTTCCTTTAAATTCATAAATTGTTGCACGTCTAATTTTCCATGAAGGCCATGTGACAATCATAACAAAGATTTGGACAGTTTTGATGATAATGAATGATTTATTGGGTGGTATTGGACCTCTCTCACCCCAAAAACTAGCTCAAGAGGTGAGACTTTCCCTCACACTTATAAACTGAATACCAATTTCATCCATAACCAATGTGGGACAACCTCAACAATCCCCCCCCCCCCACACTTCAGGCTTTGCGGGAGACCAAACAATCTCCCCCTCACACAAACCCGTATTTTCGTGATTTTTAGGCCGGAGACTTGTTGATAAACTGGGCTTTGATACCAGTATTGGATGGTATTAGGTCTTTCTCACCCCAAAAGCCAACTCAAGAGATTAGGCTTTCCCTCACACTTGTAAATTAAATACTAACCTCATCCACAACCGATGTGGAACAACCTTAACATGATTGTACAATTATAAAGGAGTATGGGACAAGAATATTACATTTGATATGGTGAGAGCGGGGCTCCACTGATCCTTTAGAATATCCAAGCAAATATTACCATTATTATTTATATTTGGATGGAAAACTTTTGTCCTGAAGGCAACCTGCTCATCAATTTGTATCAATATATTATTTTATTTTTCTTTTTAATAATTAATAACTAAATGAAGAAAATAAATTAATTTGATTTTTAATTTAGATATGTACCTTGGGAGGTTTAAAAGGATAATCAGGTGGGAAATGGATGGTAACTTGGAAAACACCTCCTGCATATGGACTCTCATTTGGCCCAATTATGGTTGCTTGCCAATGAAACATATCTTGTGCCACCGGACCTGGATTTATATTAAAAATAAAGAAATAAGCATATATCGACTCAAACTGTTGTACATCGATATGTCGATGAGAGATGTGATCTAAGTTTTGGAAATATATATTATACTACGACCTGTATGATGATGAGAAACTGAGTTCTTGATTGATATATGGTGAGGCTTAACATGAAAATGACACACCCTTTGAACTTTATCTCCCAATTTTTTTGGGCGGATTTATTTTTCAATTTTGTACTCTTATTGATGGAAGGTCATGAAACGATCTAGGTCTCGTGTCCAAGTCACTAATTTATGTACTATCTATTTTGAGAGAGTATAAATCCATTTTAATCTTCATTGATTTCTATCGTGTTCCCCAAAATTGGAACTCAAGACATTTGCCATACGAGATATTTAAAATGGGTTTAGACTTTCTCAAAGCGGACAACATGTAATATTATTAGCGCAATTAGCACTAGAATTCAACTTAAGTCACTCATAAGAAAGATGTCTTGAATTTGAATCTTGGGATATAAATCTGTGAGGGTAAGATGGCTTAGGCTCTCTCAAAATAAATAGTATGTACGATATAACGGTTTGGACGCGAAGCTCAAGTTGTTGCAGGTCACGCTATAACTAAGATTGTATTTTGGTTTATTTGTATAATTAATAAGTGTCCTAGCTGTGATGGTTTGATTTTAGAAGAAAAATAAAAATGAAGGGAATACTATGTACATAAATTAAGGGAAAGACGAACGTAATAAAAGAAATTTCAAAATTGACGTGATCTTGATAAACTATGTGTCAAAATCTAAAATGACTTGTTATTGACCTTCAAACTTTAGTTAGTTTCGAGCTTCAATTAGATGAACCATGAAAAATAAGGTTAAAGGTAAGTTGGGGGAAGTAATAGGTACCTGCACTGCAGGAAGTAGGAGGGTCTTTTTGCAATTCCCTGAGCTCTTTGAGAATTCTCCTTGATGCCATTTTGATTGGAGGAAGGAAGCAGCTGAACTTGAATTCTAGGACACTTTCTCATGGAAGAAATGAGGTGCTATATATATAGAAAAATTGAGAGAGAGAGAGAGAGAGAGAGAGAGATTCAATGAACTTTCTTATCAAGTGGGCACAGAACAGATTCCAATGAAAAAAAAAGGTAGGAGCCAACAATTTTCCAATATGCTCCCAACATGAACAATAGTCTTAGTCTGCTGGTTTATTCTTCATTTGGTCTTAAAGATCTTTAAAAACATTGGTCAGTCATCTACTTTATTGTCGAATTTTATTCAACCTTTGTTCGTCAACTATTCTACCACATTATTTTTTCTATAGTACTCATTTTCAATCACAAAATCTTCATTAAAATAATATTACACATCAATCAAAAACTTTTCATTCTTTTTTAACCACACATTTCAACATTAAACACTATTCCATAATACATTTTTTGAAATTAAAGGGGCATAAACAGGCTCTCAGTATCATGTCCTAATCATGTTAAATTGGATAAAGAAAAGCAAACAAGCCATCAATTCACTTCAAACTTTGTACATAGTGGAAAATCTAGCTTTTCGTGAAAGGATTCGTAATGGATTTCCGCCTCTGCAACCGACCTTCGGCCCCACCCATTTCATGAAATTGACAAAAAGAGATGCGATTGATAAGGAGCAATGGTCAACTTCCACTTTCAAGCGTCTAATTGCCTCTAATAATGGAATCTTATCTTTTACTATTTCAACGTACAGAATAAAAATAGATATTAATAATAAGGCAGGTAGGTAGCTTGATAATTAAGCCAATATAAAAAAGACGCATTATACTATCACAAATGAACCATTTCTACAAGCAAAATATATCGAGGAAGCTAAGACAGAATTTACTACTAATATTAGGCATGCAGCAACATTAAAAGGCAAAGTTTTGGTCTCTTAATAACGCATAAAAGAACAAATCAAAATAGTGGCAACAATGAGATCGAAAGCTCAACACAAACCGACCACTGATATCTAGAGAATGATCACTAGAATTTTTTTGAATTTCCTTTTAATCAGAGTAAGTGTATTCTAATATGCTAAAATAGAGATTTAATGGTGCAAAATACCGAATAGAGTTTGACTTATCGAAATCAAAATATGCACAAAATGTAGCTTATTGAAACGTAAAAATTAGAATGAGATAAAATGAAGTGAGGTATATGAATGCAAATCTTCATTAAGATAGATTTCAACTTTGTACTAGTACTAACATAATCAAATGGACGTTTATTTTCCTAGATACAAGGTTTCTTCTAAAATTAGTTTAGTACAATATTAGTGTTGTCGGACGAACCAAAGTGTTGACAGTATTTTTTATGAACGAAAATGACACGAATTAAAATTGCTCGGACGGAATTTTATTTCTGAAAATAGTTCGAATGGAAATTAATATCAGGAAAATGAAACAATAGAATATTTTGAAGAGAGAAGAGAATTTAGAAATCAAATTTTCTTCAATTGATTTGTTGTATGAAATTTGGAATTAGGGTCCCTATTTAAAAATTTCCAAGTGTCTTTTTGAATATTTGTATCTTTTGACTTAAACAAGTGTGATCCATTAGATCATATTTACTGGTCTGTATTGCACTCTATCGAATATCATGACTTTTGATAATGTACCTTCTTGAATAATCACACCTATTTCAAATCAACAGGACTTTTTGATATGTACCATTTGCGTTTGAAAAGTAAGCAACCAATCATTGCACTAATTGAAATTTTTTTCAATTTACATCTACAAAATTATCCCATAAATTCCAACATTAACTGGGAAAGAGACCTACTTCCTCATATGGAAAGGGACATAAAAGAGAGCCTATTGTCGATCAAAATATAGCCCCTGTTTGGGCTCCATTAAAAATTTATTTTTAAGAAAAAATTGTGTTTTAGAATAGTCGTTTTTGGAAAATGTGTAGTTAAAAAGGAGGAAAATTTTGAATTTACGCGTACCATTATTTTATTGAAGAATGTGTATTTGAAAAGAAGAAAAATAACATTAAAACTAAAATGAAGCCCAAACAATGTCATAGAGTAGGCGTTTCCAGACTTCTTTTTCTTCTGATCACGACTTCAATAGCAAAAGCGAAGACCCCTTTCTCATTCTGTAGTTTTGAGTAAGTTTCATAATCTAAGCATCGATGGGAAATCTTCTAAGACCATCTCTATGCATAAAAACCTATTGTGTTTTAAATTTACGCTACAATCAACATAAGAAGGTGCTCCAATGATTTTCCTCCCTAGAAATTGAAGAAAAGAAATAAGATGTTCGAAAATGAAACAACATTATTGACCTCAAAATTGAGATTAATAAATTCCTTTCACCTAATCAAACTTTTCGCTTCCTAAACTTACTGAATTCTATTAAAATAAGAGCTTGAAGAGAAACGACTATTTGAAAAGAGTATATCGAACATATTATTTTTTGCTCCAAATTATGTCTATTTATAGGTTTTTGATGAGGTCATGAGGGTAGTTATATCTTTTCTTTTTTGAATGACATGAGGCAATTGTTGATTAATTAGCTTTAATTCATTTGTTACTTTTCCACCTTTTGTTAACCATGCCACGTGTTCTTCACTATTTGGTTGTGAAGTCATGTTCAACAGGTTTAACTTTTTTCTTTATATATGCTTTAATAACGATTTTTTCTTATGTAGAATAGCCTTCGAAAAAGTATTTTCGCACTCACGTGCCTTGAGCATTCGTCGTTTGTATTCAAGATCAAACTTATGGCATCGTATTATAAATGCTTGCGACAGTGGCATAGGTTCACACGACCTGAACTTCTTAAAAATACTCGATAATAATGGTGAAGCTCCACACTCAACGAGCTCAAGTTAGTATCACAAATGATGAACAAATTAATTCATAACAAATAGTCCTCAAAGTATAAGTCTAATAAATTATGTTAGGTTTAGGACTTAAGTTCAGGTTCTCTGTGTTGCGCGGACCAAAATGTTATTTTATTTTTTAAAATTGATATTGATGGTATAGACCTTGATATTTCTTTGCAACATGCTAGCCCAAAATATTCTTGGCGATATCTTAGCTACTTATAAAAAGTTTTTCAAACGGTCATTGAATTTTAAAAACCACCTCGTGACTGCATATCCATCAAAAAAAAAAAATCACGATTAAAAATTGGGCACTAATCAGCAGTTGTCATGAGAAATTAGTCTATAATTGCTTTCCATTTACTGAATAATAATGATCTATAATTTCTTATTGAATAATTAACCAAAAATGAACTGATTCAATCAAAATTCAAAAATTACAAACGTGTAAATTTGTGTTGATTATTTGCATATTTGAAGAAGAAATTCAAAAATTTCCTTTAAAGATAAGCTACTTGAAATAGCCTTGATCTTGTAGTATTGATTCGTGCAAGATTTCCTCTTCTGATTTCAATTTTTGTTGATTTGATGGTTTAGGTTTCAATTTTCTCACTGTTATTATGCCTCTTTTTTAATCGTGATTTGTTGTTATTAATGATAAAAAAATATTATATTTATATTATAGCCCCATGTTTATTCTGATGTTACAAATGACCCTAATTTTAAGGGTATTTGTATAAGGGAAATTTTCATAAATGTCACTAAATTTGAAAATGCCCAAAAAAAATTTCATTTGCAATAAATATGGTTAAAAAAAATGTCACTTTTTGGTGTGAAAGGTCCATATTAGCCTTAATGACACTTTTTTAGGAGCATTTAATCCTTGATTTGAAAGTCATTAATGTTGTGATGTGATGATTTGTTTTATATATTATAAATATTAGAGATATCATTATTATATTGGATAGTATGAATTTTGGTGAAAAAAAAAGAATTTGAAAAATTAAAAAAAAAAAAAACACACACACACACACACACACATAACTTCTTACCATTCACAAATCCTAACCTCTTATCCATATTCTTTATTTCATCATCAAAAAGACATTACTATCATATTCATCATCCATTTTTCAGATATTAACTATTATAAATTATTTATATTTTCATCTTATAGCTTACTACTTTAAATGTTCAATAGAACATAGTCATATTTATTTGAAATTTTTGAAACTCTTATTCATTGATTTGTTTTATTCTTGATATATTTTTTAGGGAAAAAGATATCAACGTCCTTTAGAAAATGTGAAGGATTCCATAATTAATGAAGTATTGAGTTGTTCCTTATTTATTTTTGAGAAGACGTGATATTGCAATTGAGAATTGATTATCACCATTAATGTTTTGAATAATTTCTTCCAAAATACCAAATACATGTTTTCAAGCTTTCTGACAATTTCGACGGTTCAACTATCGAATTCAACATTTCGAAATCATCATATTAGACATCTAAACTGTCAAAACTGACATTTAGAAATTGTCGAGATAGATAATTTAACTGTTGGGATTCAGGCATTCATTTCAACTTTTGTTATTGAATGGATTTAAATATTCAAATGTGTCACTTTCATGCTATTAAATGTCGACATATTAATTGTGCAGAGTTCTTACCATTGCAATCTCAACTTTTTAGATATTAATAATCATTTGAGATTCATTGTGTCACATAGGAGAAAATATGTTTATGTGGATAACGAATGGAAGTGGAGAGTAGACAAAATCACTTTAGCTTTAGTTTCAACAAGTATTACCATATGCATTTGTTATGGTAGAGTTGGCCATAACCGGACCACGTGTTCCAACACCATTTTAACATAACTCATGTGAATAGACTTGATTTCTAAAAGTAATTAAAGTTGTATTTTGAATGTTCCCCCCGATAGCGTTGTACATTCTGAAATTATATTATGATTTTAATTTTATTATTGTTGCAGACATTAGTCGTGTTTAAGTTCACGAGCAAAATAATTACATAGACAAAAATTGCATACCATCCAACAGATGGATTCTATCATTCTTGACGGATGGTTTCAAAGTAGAAAATTTGACTACAAAAAATGTATGTGGGTCATGCTGCTCCCGAACACATTCTCAACTTACATTATTATTAGCATTTGCTGAT